GTTCATAAACATCAATACCAATTCCAACATATACAATAACCCGTACACAATTCAAGTCACAATAGTAATTGCCCACAACAAGTCACGTATGATATTGCCACAGTTGTTTCAATTATATCAATTACGATTTCTTTCCAACGTTTGTTCCACAGCTCTTACCACGTAACACGTTCATACCCACACGCACTTGTGTTATTGCCATTTTACTCACACCACTATAATGGAAAACTTAACCAACAACGTTCAAGGCACATTAATCACAAGAATTTCACAAATAGTCCACATAAGTAACACATACCAATTACTCGTACACCAACAAGGTGACTTTACAGAGGTTAAAGTTAGTCATACATACCTGGAGTCGAATTCCCTTTTTAACTTCTACTTTCAATTCACCAACAGCCTAGTACCGTCAATCTAGTTCACAAGTTAGCACATATAACTTAGAATTGAAGTTCACAAACTTAGCCCGAACTTACTTAGGTTTCCAACCCCTATTTTGCAAATCTTTAGTTCTACCCAATTCCTCTTACTAGATTCTAGGTTTTAAAGGACATGCATGTGTATCTCTGCTTCCATTTTTAAGAATTAACGCATGAGAATCTCCCTTTTTGTTTAAATCTAAAAACAATGAAAAAGGATTGGGGATTTTACCTTCAAGAACGGAGATGAAAACAATTACTTGAAATTTCCCGGCCTGGATGACTTTGAAAAATCAAATTGATAGAGATAAGACTTTCTCTCTCAATAATTCTCTCTCCCCTCTCTCTAGTTTTGTTCAGAAAATAGGTTAAAATGAGGGGTTGGGGTGTTTTATTGAAGAAGGGGTCGGGTTTAAAATTTAGAAAATTGGAGCCCCGAGTCAGGTCTGCGATCGCATTTGCAATCGCAGAGTGGAAATGCGGTCCGCAGAATGGACCGCAAAAGTGCTCTCAACATCTGAACGCACTGCCTGGGTATGCATTAGAAATGCGGTCCGCATAATCATTATGCGGTCGCATAATACACCGCAGAACTGCCCCTCACAAAAATCCCAAGGGAAATATGTGACGATTATGCGGTCCGCATATCGGTTATGCGATCGCATATCGGATCGCATATTTAACCTCCAATTCGACCAACACACTGACCCACTTTGCGGCGGTTATGCGGTCCGCATACCTGATATGCGACCGCATTCTCGACCGCAGAATCGCATTTTCTGGAAAGTAGTATTTCTTGATTTTTTATAGCATAGATCAGTATAAAAGGTTCGAGCTACCAGGTTTTGAGTACAAGTTTTCACAGGGCCTTACAAATACCATGCTTTGAAATTTTATGCCCAAGAACTATGTCCTCTTCCACCATAAAGTGGCATTTCTCTCAATTGAGAACAAGATTGGTTTCTTCACAACGGGCCAAAACTCTATCAAGATTCTTCAAACACTCATCAAATGAATCACCTGCAACACTAAAGTCGTCCATGAACACCTCCAAAATGTCTTTCACCATATCAATGAAAATGACCATCATACACCGTTGGAATGTAGCCGGTGCATTACACAACCCAAAAGGCATCCGAGAAAAGGCAAAGGTGTCATATGGACAAGTGAATGTGGTCTTCTCCTGATCTTCCGAAGCAATCAAGATTTGGTTATACCTAGAATACCCATCTAAGAAACAGTAGAAGGCACGCCCAGCAAGTCGGTCTAACATCTGATCAAGAAAAGGCAATGGTTTATTCAACTTGCGGTAGTCCATGCATACCCTCCAACCGATTCTGGTAGGAACCAACTCATTTTGTGAATTTGTATCTACGGTCATGCCACCCTTCTTCGGTACACATTGCACCGGCTAAGTCCAAGAGCTATCAGAGATGGAGTACACAACCCCGGCATCCAACCACTTGATCACCTCTTTTTTCACAGCTTCTTGCATTGCTTCGTTCAATATTCTTTGATGCTCCAAGGAGGGCTTTGCATCATCTTCTAGGATAATCTTGTGCATACAAAATGCGGGGCTTATCCCCCGAATATCAGCTAAAGTCCATCCAATTGCTTTTTTCCGCTCTTGAAGCACCGTCAATGTGGCATCAACTTGCATGTTATTAAGACGAGAGGAAAGAATAACTAGCAAAGTAGAACTTGGGCCTAAGAACTCATACCTGAGGTGTGGAGGCAACGGATTCAACTCCAACATCGGAGGTTCCTCAATTGAAGGCTTTGTTGGTGGAGTCTTCCTATTCTCGAAATCCAAATAAAGTTTTTAGGCTCATAATAGTACGATCCCATTCCATGTAACGCATTCACACACTCCACCCGGCTTGCATCCTCATTGACGTCAAGATTCAACAAAACGGCCTCAAGAGGGTCCTCCACATTGATCATTGCACTGGTATCATCAATTATCACTGCCGTGACAAGGTCCACAAAAGAGCACACTCGGAACTGTTGGGCTGCTTCATTGACTTGCACACATGAAAGACCACTTTTTCATCACCCACCCGGAAGGTGAGTTCTCCTGCTTCCACATCAACTAACGTCTTCCCAGTAGCAAGGAAAGGTCTCCCCAAAATGATAGGAACTTCATAATCCACCTCACAATCCAAGATCACAAAGTCAGTTGGCAAGATAAATTTGTCCACTCAGACAAGCACATCATCAATAATTCCCAATGGTCTCTTCATCGTTCTATCCGCCATTTGTAATCTCATGGAAGTCGGCCTAGGTTGCCCAATACCCAAAGTTTTGAAAACTGAGTAGGGCATCAAATTGATACTAGCCCCCCAAATCACATAAAGCCTTAGCAAAGTACGCACTCCCAATGGTACAAGGAATGGTGAAAGCACCGGGATCTTCAAGCTTCGGGGCCATTGAATGCACTATTGTACTAACTTGGTGAATCATCTTTATAGTTTCACAATCCATGGATCGTTTCTTTGTCACCAAGTCCTTCATGAATTTAGCATAGCCCGGCATTTGTTCAAGAGCCTCCACCAAAGGCACATTAATAGATAAGCTCTTCATCATGTCAATGAACTTTTTAAACTGATTCTCATTTTTCTGCTTCGCGAGCCTTTGAGGATAAGGCGGAGGTGGCCTTGGCAAAGGTACTTTGGCTTTAGGTACAACCGGCTCTGGTATGTCTATTACATGTTCCCTAGACGGGTTCACGTCATTTTGAGTTTCCACCTAGGCATCTTGAATATCGATCCTCACTTCTTCGTTCGCATTCACTGCTACAAAAAGACTTTTAGTGGCATTTAATTGGCCGCAATAAAAGAATGGCCGCTAAATAGTTTTGTAAATGAAAATATTAGCGGAAAATAAGCATCAGACACTATTACATACCTTTTTAGTGGCAATACAAATAAATAGCCACAATTAAAAGCGACTTTTATTACTTTTGTATTCCCCTTCAAAATTTTAGACTAAAATTACTCATTCCCTCCAATTTTTTCCGTCTAAGTTGGGGAAACTTAAAAAAAAAATACTTCAAACAATTAAAATCTCTCATCCCCTGTAAAGTTCTCATTGTTGTTGCCCTATCGCGGAGTCGCCGCCTATCGCCGATCCTCACCATAGCGCCACTAACCTCAGGTAATATATTTCAAAAAATACTTTTTTTAATTGAATTTTTGTTCATCAATTTTAGTAGTGGTGAACTTTGCTTCAATCTTCGTCCCTGTAGAGTAGCTTTGGTCGGCACACCCTTTTGAAAAGGGCCCTTTTATAAGGGACAATAATTATAGTTAGAAATTACTATATTTGGTTTGGGTGTAAACCTTTCTTCATTGTGTCAAAAATAGGTTGACGAAATTAACTGATTAAGAACAGAACTTCAAAAGAAATTTCTGAAAGTTGGAAAATTTGTAAGTAATAATTAGATCGCTGGTTATTCTATGGACCAAGTTGTCTTATACTTTAGTCTTTACACTACTGGGTTCCAGAATATGATTTTTTAAAATATTATTATGCTGGCTATCTATTATCTTCTACTGCCCTTCAACTTGTATAGTAATCCAATTTTTTGTTTGTTACCTGTTAATGCAAAGTATCCCTTTTTATATCACTTCTACAGTATGTATGTATATGTGTCCTTTTTAGACTTACACATGTTTAGCGACAGTACTTATATTCCCCACTATATTTGATCGTACGGAGCTAACAACTGATAAAAAGGTGGCAGCTATAAGTAGCTTCTCAGTACTTCTACTTAAAGGTAACAGTTCATAAAGCAGACCATCTAGCTTTACTTTTAAGTTGAATAATTCTTCAACTCTGATATTACAGAAGGTAGTATGATATTGTTTATTGAGTCCCGGGTATACATGGTTTTAAAATAATTTGCAGACTATGAATTTGAGTTTATAACCTCAACTTTCTTGAGATTAAGGAATAGTAATAGTTGTTGCAAAGTTGATGTCAATAGAAGTTAGCACGTCGTCTATGCCGATTAGGTATTTGGTGCCACATAAATATGATAAGTTTATCACTTAAGGAATTGTTTAATGTAACTTCCATAGATAGAGAACATGTTGCTAGTTCATTGATCTATTTGTTTATGGTTGTAATATATCCCGGTACGCGCAAGCTAACGCATACACCACAGTTTAATTAAATAGTAGCATTCATTGAAATTATTTGGTTAACTTGGATAATTACCACACAAAAGTATTTTTGGTGATGAAACGGAAAGGATCCAGTAAAGCAAAAAAAAAGGAAAAGAAGAAGAAGAAAGAACTGCAGTTATCCATAGAACTGAAGCATATAGTGGTTAAGACTAAATCTATGTATTGTTTTGTATTTTGGTGGATGGATCATCGAAGTGCTTTGATTTACCAATGAGGATATTGGGGAGGAAGACAAAATAGAATGCGGATATAGTTGTAATAAATAGGATAAGTATAAGCTAATAGAAATCGCAGTTATAGCTCTTGACTAGTGTTTGGTGAAGATTGCTTCTTTAGACAGACAATGATTATCCCTTGTGATAACAAATTAATAACTAGGAGATCAGTAGACTGGTCTCGTCTCTTAGTGGCTATATGATAAAGCTATGGTATCAACTTCATAAGTCCTAAAAGCACACTTAGCTACTTTTAATTATTTCTTGGATAATTTTTATGTATAAATTATAAAATAGTATTCTTATGTTGCGATGACAGAGGAGAACACAAACAAATATAAATAACAGGGCCAAGCAAAGTATGTCTCACACTGGAGGATCCAAAAGTATTTCCATCTTGATGGCTGAGAAAGTATTCATGTAATTGGACTTCTCTCTTCAACTTATCTGTTTGGAGTGCATACTATAAAGTTTTTTCTGGTTTTTACTCTAACACAAGGAAGATCAATAGTTAGTTTCCTTAAACAAATTTTTTTGGTTTAGGAACAAAGGTTGTCTAGACAGGGTTTCAAAGAAGAAGAGAACTTTGTTTTCTTTTAAATTTGAAGAAGCAATGGGAAACGAGAAAGAAAAAAATGGATAAAGTGATGGTTCCAGGGTTTCGTTTTCATCCAACTAATGAAGAGTTAGTAGGGCTTTATCTAAGGAGGAAAGTTCAGTAGAAACCTATCACCATAAAACATATCAAGCAAATTGGCATATATATATATGATCCATAGGATCTACCAAAGTTGGCAACAACAGAAGAAAAAGAATGGTATTTCTATTGTCCAAGGGATAGAAAGTATAGAAATAGTGCAAGGCCAAGTCGAGTAACTGGAGCTAGTTTTGGGGAAAGTCAAAGCTACTGATAGGCCAACTTACTCTTCTGAAGGATCAATGCATTAGCTTGAAGAATCCCTAGTTTTCTACAAAGGCATAGCTGCAAAAGGCATTAAAACTGACTGGATGATGCACATGATTTTCAAGAAAGCATACTCCATTGCAAATAGAGCTCTTTCTCATTCTTGGGTGTCACCAGCAGCCACTTTACAGCAGATCATTTTCTAACCAGCATCCACTTTACTAATTATTCAAATGAAATCGCATTGATAAGAAAAACAAGTCCACCTATCCAATTTACTGGTTTTAGCATTAATGAATAATAATTTTCTTTAATATGGGTGCTGATGCTTGGAAGACGAATTTGCTTTGGGTTTCTTCTCCTTGTCCTAGTGGTGAAATGTCCACTAGTTATTCTACTAACAAGTGTTACACTTGACCCTTAGCTAAAAAGTGTTTTGTTTTTTAGTTTCAAGTACTTTAGCTTTTGTTTTCTTACTTTTGGATTTTGTTTTGTTTTCTTTTTGGGGTACTTTTGGAGTTAGTTTTAGTTTTGGATTAGTGTTGTAAAAACTCTAATGTAGGTTTTTCAATTAATTCATGAATCAAATCGTTTCTAAAAAAAAGGAGAGATGGTATTCATGTAAAATTACTAAATATAATATTTTAAAATACTTTTTATCATGCATAACTGACATTGATTTTGCTGTATTAGGCTGAAAATAGCATAGACCCTACACGAACACAAGTTTTTATTTTAACTCATAAACAACGTAAAGATGGTCGACCACTTGATGAGGAGTCTTCAAGGACAATCGTAAGATTTTTCTTCTCTATCTTTTAATTTTTGAATTTCATCTATTTTAGTTGAATTCAGGTTCATCGATTTTTCCTTACAGTGTTTCTTGAAAAGGAGATGTATATTTCCAAGTGTTGAGAAATAAAAAAAGTGGGTATGTTCGGGGTCTGTGAATTGGTCCAACTCTTTCGATACTGTGGAGTGATAAATCTTCCATAGATAATATTGTTCCAGAGAATTCGTCTAATGACGTAAGACGGATAGAACAAAAGATAATAGAGTTAACAGAGTTAAATGGAAAACAAAATGAAGAAATGAGTTTGATGAAACAATAATTATTCTGGATGAGACAAGTCATGTGCAAAATTGCTCCTAATGAGTTATCATCCCAAAATATCAATCAATTCTCAACTGAACATGTAACTCAACTTCCAAAGATTAAGATATTTTTCACAAATTTTTCGTTATGCATTTGTTTAACAACTAGCTTGAAGTCTGCTCCTGGGTAATTTCTTTTGAGACTGGAATAGTACTTATTTTGTTGCAATTTTTAAATTTTTTTGTCAGTTGAATTGGTTGAAGTTATGTCGAAAATCTTATTTTGTGTAGGTTTTCTAATTTTTGGCATACTTATTGTATAAGAGTGATTATTTTTGCCCAAACATTAATAAATCTTATTACTTTATCAAACACAAGGTATACTCTTGAATGTGTATCAAATAATGCATGCGGATGGTATAAGCAAATTCAATTTTTCCTCACAGTAATAAAGACTTCACCTAGGCAAGCAACTCTTTGAATGAACTTGCACTTAGATGCTCGGTCTCTGTGTACCTTTTATGTCATTCCTGGCCACCTCAAATACTTGTGTACGATGATTCATCTACTTCTCTTGACTAAACCATAGCCCCATCTCAAATATTTTTCTACTTGTTTGTATTGGATAACATGTCAATCTATTTGTAGCTATTTCATGTGTTATTAGAATCTTGATTTTAAGAGTCTCTTGAGTCTTGATATCTATATGCATTTAAGTTAGCAGGATCTAGATATATCTAAAACACAGCGGAATATCCTCTTGTACTACAATTTCAAAGTAAAATAGGGACCAAAACGCTTTTGATGTTTTTTTTGGACAAAAATCACTTTTATACTGCTTAAAAAAAAGTTACATAAATGAGTAAAACGCAGTATGATACTGCATTTTATTTTAACGGACTAATTTCCGTTAACGTAGTTCGCAGTACTATACTGCGAACTACGTTAACGGAAATTAGTCCGTTAAAATAAAATGCAGTACCATACTGCGTTTTACTTTTAAATTTTTTTTTTTGTAATTCGCAGTACCGTACTGCATTTTACTTCAATTTTTTTTTGTAATTTGCAGTATAATACTGCGTTTTATAAAGCTGTTCGCAGTATTATACTGCGTTTTACCTAAAACGCAGTATAATACTGCAAACAGCTTTATAAAACGCAACCCCTTCTTCTTCCTTGGACCACTGAACGCAACCCCTTCTCCTTTAAAAATTTCGATTATTCTGGTCCTCCCCTCCCCCACCCCGCGACAAACTTAAAAAAAAAAAATTCGGCCCCACCCGTCACCTAAAGAGCAAGGAGTGTAGGTCCCACATACAAGACAAGCTTTAGATTCCTTCTTTCGGGTGCAAAAATTCGATTTCAATCAAATTCAAAAAACTTAAATCAAGGTATTTCGATTTTGTTTATGTCGAAACTCGTATAGTACATGCATATTTGTATTGTTTAATGTGTTTCCATGTTAATTTGTGTTATGTTTGTGTTTAAATTTATATCTTATTTATACCTGGACTGATTTATTAGCTTTGGTACAAAAAATTGTTAAAAGCAAATATTTCATTAAAAGTAAGGTTTTTTTTACTAAAAGCAAATATTTCATTAAATGGCTCAACCTTTTCGTCCACCAAAGTGCAACTGTGGAAAAGAATGCTCGATGCAAAATTGTTGGGACGGTGGTGAAGTTGGACGCCGCTACTGGTGCTGTATGAACCAGTTATACAAGGTTCCAGGCGAACCTATTTGTGATTTTGAGAAATGGGTTGATGAACCATGTTATCAGGAATGATATAGAGAACAACTGCAGTTTCTTCATAATATGTGTTTATGCCAACGGGAAACACAAAGAGAAAGCGATAGAATTATTATAGAAATGAGGGCGAAACTGAAGGAGGTGGGAGAAGAAAAATGGAAAGCACAATGGAATTGTGAAACACAAAAGGAACGAAAAGAAAAATATAAACGGAAACTTGCGGAGGTGAAAGCGAAACTGAAAGAGGTAGAAGAAGAAAATGAACGAATGGAAGAACGATTTAAGTGGTTGGAGCGGAGAATAAATGGCATCCGGGACTAAACATTGGCATGTATGTGTTTAGTGTATTTTTCATATTTCATGTATTTTTATTATGTTGTCCTGTTATGTTTGTGTTTGTGTTGTAGTAATGTTTTATTTACATTTTCCTACAATTAAACAGCTTTTTCTTCACTTATTCCAAATTGTGGAACATAATTTTATTTGATATATATTGTAACATACACAAGTACAAACACGTATTACAAAAAAAAACTAAAATAAAAGACTAGGGGTATCGTTGATAGTTGGGTACATTCGACGAACTTGCACTAGGAGCCGAATTACCACTGCCACGCACACCACCTGAAGGACATTTACGACGGTCGTGTCCTGTTTGCGAGCATATGTCACATTTACGCGCATAAACGGTGTCACCAATATCCATTTGGTTCCGTATATGCGTTCTCTTTTGCACTTGCAGCTTGTGCAAATAGTCCTTGTTACATACCATCTTAAAAGGTTCTGGCGGCCAATAATGCTCAGCACCTAATGGTTGCAACTTCCCACTATACGTGTCTACGTATGCAGCAACACTGTATTGCCTATCAATATAGTTTTTTGCCCCATATCCAACTTGTTGAAAGCACTTCAACGCATGTGCGCACGACATATGGTAGATGGTCCATTTCCCACATGAAGATAACCTTCTATTTTCATTCACCGTCTGTAGATTATTCCCACAGTGTCCGCGGATATCGGTCTTAACAATGCTGATGCAGCTGCATGCCTTTCAACAAACCTCTCCGCACTCTGTTTGAATGTCATGCGGACCATGGCAGTGACAGGCAGTCCACGGGAAGGCTTCAACAAGCCGTTGAATGACTCCGACACGTTTGTAGTGAGGGCTCCCCATCGTCTTTCGTCATCAGCATGTAATGTCCACATGTGAAGCTCATGCCTCATCAACCAATTATAGGCTCGTGGTTCTAATTGCCGGATCGCTTCCATGCGCCTCGTGAATTTGCACTGCTGGTGCTCAGTTGCAGCCATCCACATTAAGTCATGCAATGCCTTGTCAGGATATTTCTTCTGGAAATTGGCCTTCAGGTGACACACACAGTAACGGTGGTATGCATATGGTTCCTGCCATTCAGGCAAAAGAACTTAAAATACCACCATGTCGATCTGATATTAGACAAATACCTGAACGCTGTTTGACAACGTGCTGCTTCAAGTGGTTCAAAAAAAGCGTCCATGTCTCTTCACTTTTGTTGGCACATATGGCAAAAGCTAGTGAAAATATTTGCCTGTTGGCATCTACTGCAACTGCAATCAAAAGCTTAATATCATACTTTCCATAGACATGAGTACCGTCTATGGAAATAACAGGACGACAATGCACAAAACCATCAATTGCTGGTTTAAATAACCAGAACACATAGTTGAAAATATATTCGGGTCTGTCCGAACTCCGCTTACGCCTCCATTCAACAACAGTCTCGGGGTTAAAGTGTTGCAGTGCGGCCATGTACCTGGGCAGATTTGAAGAAGACTTATCTCAGTCGCCATAAATAAGTTCAAAGGCACGTTTGCGACCGAGATATACCTTTCTTTTGGTTATAGTACAACCATACTCCTGATGGACGGCTGTAATACACTCTTTAATCTTGAACCTAATGGACACTTCCAAATATGGAATCAAGACAAGAGAAATCAAGTCCACATCCAAGTTGAAGTGATTCTCATTGTATGTGTCCTTTTCATATCTATGCTCGCTAATAAATTTACCTACTTTCCACAAACCTGATTTCTTCTTGGTGGCACGCAATATCCAGTGACAACCCATAAAGTCTCTATGGCATACAACCTTGTATTTCTCCGTAGTTGACTCACTTACTGTCATCTCACGGCACTCTCTTATACTGTAAATTTTTACAGTCATAATTAAGCGAGCTTTATCAGGGAAATACATGCCCTTTGTCAGAATAGCTGGTCTAGACTCATCCCACATCGCTGACCGAAATTCATCATCATCCCTTGTGAGGGCATCCACGTTCGGCATGCTTGGCAAATTATCAAGGTAGGGAATATTCCGCTCATGAAATGGCACGT